CAGGCCAGTCAGCCTCACCTCCGTTCCTGGAAAGGTGATGGAGCAGCTCCTCCTAGAGACCATCTTAGGCATGTGAAGGAAAAGAAGGTGATCAGGAGTAGTCAGCATGGATTCACCAAGGGGAAGTCATGTTTGACAAAGCTGACAGCCTTCTGTGATGAGGTAACGGACTGGATGGACAATGGGAGAGCTGTGGATATTGTCTACCTTGATTTCAGCAAGGGTTTTGACACAGTTGCCCATAACATCCAGAGAGGAAAGCTCTGGAAGTATGGACTGGATGAGTGGACAGTGCAGTGAATTGAGGGCTGACTGGATGGCAAAGCCCAGAGGGTGGTGACAAATAAGGGCCAGTCTAGTTGGAGGCCTGTGGCCAGTGGTGTCCCCAGGGGGCAGTTCTGGGCCCAGGGCTGTTCAACTTGTTCATCAATGACTTGTATGAGAGCACAGAGGGCTCCCCCAGCAAGTTTGCGGACGATACCAGACTGGGTGGATGGAGTTGCCGACACTCCAGAGGGCTGCGCTGCCACTGAGAGGGACCTGGACAGGATGGAGAGTGGGACAGAGAGGAATCTCATGAGGTTCAACATGAGGGTCCTGCACCTGGGGAGGAACAACCCCAGGCACCAGTAGATATTATGGGTTGATCTGCTGCTCTCCTGTGGAGAGGGATTTGGGTGTTCCGGTTGACAAGTTCACCATGAGGCAGCAACGTGCCCTCGTGGCCAAGAAGGGCCAAGTACAAACACCTCAGGGGAGAATGTAAAGAGAGTGGGTCTAAACTCCTGGTGGTGGTCCGTGACAGAACAAGAGGTAATGGGTATAAATTAAAACACACGAAGCTTAATCTCCACATGAGGAAGAACTTTCCTGTAAGGGTGACAGGGCCCTGGAACAAGCTACCCAGAGAGGCTGTGGAGGCTCCTTCTCTGGAGATCTCCAACCCGCCTGGATGCCACCCTGTGCTCCTGCTCTGGGTGTCCCTGCTGGAGCAGGGGGCTGGACTGGGTGATCCCTAGAGGTCCCTTCCAACCTCAACCATTATGTGATTCTGTGATTTCTACCACTCTGCAGGCAAAGGCACGAGTCCTCTGGGATTTCCACCTCTGTCTGACCAAAATTGAGTATACATCTTCAATCAGCTGCTCTTCTTTTGCCCTCTTCTTTGAGGGCCAGCATATCAAAAAGAAAATCCTTCAAACACACTCTGTCTCCATTACAATGGATGGTATGGTAGGTATCTCCTCATCCATTCTAACACACCTGTCTACACACACACATGCTCCCCTACACACAAAGCAGAATTGCGAGTGGCTAACATCAATTAAAAGAAATGCCATTAAAAACCACCTAATGGTTTGGAAAAAAGCAAATATAGAAACTACACATGTACTTTCTCTACTGAGCTAGGACCTGCTCCTGCTTCAGTGGCCATCAGAGTTTTGCTCTAAGCCTTCATGGAAAGGTGGAAGGCCAATTATTCTAAGCCTTTCTGGTTGCACATCCCATCTCAAACACTAAAGCATCTTCACATGACTAAGTCCCCAGGAACAGTAGCAAGACCAGGTAACCAATATGACTTTACAGCATCCTGAAAGCCACAGCTACTTCCCTTCCCCTTGACGGACCTACTTATAACTCTTAGTCTCCATATTCCCAAAGCAGACAAGCTACAAAGGCCATACACCTAACGCAGGAAGCCTTTGGAGACTGGAATAATTTTCTGTTATCTGTGAAAACAAAAGGAGTTGATGTCTCCTATCAGAGGTAAAAACAGAGGTTCTGTAAAGAGGGGGATCTGATGTGTTGGAGTAAAAATGTTCCTCAGGGTTTGGTATCTTCCAGGGTTACCTCCTCTATCTAAGGCTACTTCCCATTACTGTCTTAACTGTACATCAACAATTTACAATATGTCTCATATTTAACTCAATTTCTTTTAAAATGAGCCAACAGACAGCAACGCAAGGCAGTATATGCAGCAGGTGCCACCAGCACTCCTGTTTCTCTTCCAAGTCTTAATCATAGTTTTATTGTAAAAGCTTCTTTCCTTTTTACTTCCTATTCCTTTTACAGGAATAATCTAGAAAAATAAAGATCAAAATGAAACTATGCCATTCAAAGACTATGGATAGCAGGATCTGAAGAAGGCTCAAAATTTGACCCCAACAAGTATCATCCTTTGCTCCTGGACTTGCCTCAGAAAAAGCCAAAGCTAAATTCTTCCACGTGGGAAAGAGATCTCAAATCAAAATTTGATCTGTTAAGTAGTGAAGTCCATTCCACATACTCTCTTAAAGTTTTTAGTAGCTCTTTAGTTACTGACTTCTCACAAATAGAATTAGAAAACCAGGGAGATTGCAAAACATCTGGCCTTTTCTTATAAATTAGATTACACTTCCCACCAAAATCCTCTTTAGCAAACAAGCAGGGCATCTTGAAGTACCCAGAAACAAAACTCAAACTTCCAAATGAATGACAGCATAAAAGGAATAAGCAAAAGGAAGAGCAAAAAGTTGACTTCTAGGGGCCTCACGCTTCCTCTGGGCATTACTCAGCACTTTCGGAAATAGGAGGTTTGGCAGAAGACTTCTTGCAAAGATACAATTCTGCTTTCTACATCACGAATGAGTGAAGCTACCACTGCTGACGGAGGAACTCCTGCCTTGCTTGGACCTCCAGCCACTCTTGCTCCCTTGATGACCCTTCCAAAGCGAGTGGCCAAGCAGTTGTCTGGATGTGGGACTTGATCCTGCTCCACAGTGTAGAGGAAACCACCGAAAAACAACATTTTTGCTCAGTTATTCGAACTGCTGCCAGCTTCACTATCACACAGCCGCAGGCCTAGATGGAGCCAAGAGGCTGGAGAACAGGCAGGAATGAGAAAGGGGGAGAGCAGGATCGCCTGCTTCAGCAACAGCCTCTCTAACACTGGTTTAACACATTTACCGTCTATTCATTTTTCACTTTGGCCAAACAGAGAACATAAAAATGCCATTGACACACATACAGCTATTCTGCCTTTCAATCCGTACCATCCAACCCACCACCAAATCTTCTGCAGAGCAAACATGGGACTTGGCTAACGTCCCGACAGGAGCCACTTGCTGCCACGAGCTCCTGTGGGGAAGGCTGGGAACACCTCTAGCCCCCTTTCCACCCCAGCCGGAGCAGGGAAGCACAGCGAGGCCCCAGCAAACCCAGCTAAGCCTCGGCAGGTTCGGCCTCGGCTCGCGGCCACACGAGGAAAGAGCTGAGGGGAGCGGCGGCC